GAAATCCAAGATTCCGTGACGAACAGAAAATCCAACTCCTCATCTTTTAAAAAGTCATTGAGGATAAACGTCTTGTTGGAAACAGACCTTGCGTTGATTAAACACATCCTGATATTGTCCAACACAGGCACAGCCGTGGATGGAGAAGCGCACGCCAGCGGGCGCAGGTTATGAAGAACAGCTCCTCCTGGTCTGTTGGTGCGGCGCACAGGTAAACAACTCCAGGTGTTTCCATGGACTGAGCGTGCGGGCAGCTGGCCAGCAGCCGGGCCCCGGGAGCACCACGGGTCAGAGAGGAGATGATCAGATCCAGAGCGAGTCCTGAAAGAATAATCCACTCTTTGCCTCAGTTTCACCAAGATCCCTGCACGCTTCCCACGACGTCTGCGACGTTTCCTCCATGGAGAAAGGCCAGGGTCACGCAGAAGGAACGCAGGAATCTCAGATAGGACCGGTGGGGGAGAGTGCTGGCCGCTGTTCAAAAACTCCGCAGGAATTTCAGCAAAAGTACGGAGCTCCAAAAGTGCCCGACGATCATACTGAAAATATGACTCGGCACACTGCACAAACCATTGTAAAAATAACAAAAATAAAAGACAAGCAGAGAGCGAGAGACGGGCAGCCCTACACACCGGCGCCATCTTGGATCATCAAATGTTGAAGAGTAGTGGCTCAACCCCAAGTCTCTCCTGGATAACAGAACTTATCATCCTATTTCTGAGATAGAGTCAGGCTACCCTGCAGAGAAACCCTGTATCTGCGACCACCTGTATTTGCAATCTTATTCTTTCGGTCACTACCCAGAGTTCATGGCCATTAGTGTAGATAGGAACGTGTGGAAATAATATACGTAGAAATAGTGGTAGCAATTGTACATGTTTAGAGCAAAGGCCTTAAACTGTATCATTTTTAGGTTAAGAATGATGTGTATTTTAAAATCACTCAAAACTGCAGCTTAGAGTGTGAGATAATAAAAATGGGTGAAGGACAAGATGCGATACTCTTTGGATAAGTATGTGTGTACGTGATTTGAGCCAGGAAGATATGGTTAGAAAAATGAGCTGTGTAACCAGGGCAAAGTGAGCTGTGAGTAGCTAGATAAAACTGTGACCATTGATCCACCCAGCGGGGAGGGCATAACATCATAGTATAAAATCTAATGTACAGCTCATCACTTTCAGAATTGTTGGGCAGTACAGTTAGAAGCAATTATCCAGATCTGTATTTTTGTTCATGCATTTTGTTCATCAATAAAGAGTTTGGTAAACCTAAAGAATAGCCTGTGATACTTTCGAACAAACCAACCTGAGAAGTCAAAAAAGTTCAATCTGGTCCTCTGGACATTCAAAACACAAGAAAACAAAAAAACAAAAAACAAAACAAAGCAAAAAAATGTAGAAACGTTTCGTCTCTCATCCAAGAGACTTCCTCAGTCTGAGGTGCTGTATTCAGCTCAGTCTCTTAAATAGAACCTTCTCAGAGCAGATCAACCAGTTTGCTGCTGACAACCAAAACCAGCTGCTCACATGGTCAAGAAGGACCATCAGCCTAACAATGGATCATTAGCACACCGATGGCTGCTTATTATTCACAGAGGGTTGAGTGATACTAGCAATCACAGCATTGTAAGATGGGGACAGTTGAACCCGGAGGCCTCCACCCCTGTTTAATGATGGACGATTTCTTTTCACAAAGATGGCCTCCTTTACTCCTCTCTCAAACCATCGTTCCTCTCTGTCCAGGATGTGAACATCTTCATCCCTGAAAGAGTGACCGCTGGCCTGGAGATGAGTGTAGACCGCAGAATCCTGGCCTGATGATGTTGATCTTCTGTGCTGGGCCATCCTTTTGGCCAGTGGCTGTTTAGTTTCCCCGATGTAAGACTGATCACAGCATCCTGATGCATGCTCAATAATCAGGATGCTGATTTAACTTTTTTAGACTGATCACAGCCCTCCTGTCACTGAACAGCAATATTACTCTGTTTGTGCCGGGGGACTGGATCTTTGGGATGAACCAGTCTTTGCCGTAATGTTTTTTGGGGTTTAAAAGCCACTGGGACGTTATGTTTAGAAAATAAACGTCTCAGTTTCTCTGATACTCCCTCAACATACGGAATGACCACTGGTCTGGGTTCCCTATTGCTAAGAGTGGTGAGTGCATGCAAGCAAGGACAAAAACATCATCATTCTCCCAGCAGACAAAGGAAGGTGCACAGTGATTTTGAACCAGAAAGACTATCATGAGAAAGTTATGACAGTCCTTAGTGACTTAAACACTTATGAACCTCTGAAAAGAGATCCAGGAAGTGGTTACAAGAAAAAGTTAATAGATTGCCTGAAAATTTTGGAGCAGGACAAGGCTATTGACCATATTCTGTACCACAGACTGTACCCAGGGGAGGCCACACCTAGTCTGGATGGTTTACCTAAAATCCACAAACAAGGTGTACCTTTAAGACCAATTGTTAGTATGATTAACTCTGTCACCTACAATGTTTCCAAATATCTGGCGTCTGTACTCATCCCTTTAGTTGGCAGCTCAGAACACCACATACAGAACACCATGGACTTTGTGGATAAGGTGAGGGATGTCATCATGGAGAATGATGAAACAATGATCTCTTTTGATGTCACATCACTCTTTACGTGCATTCCTGTTGATGATGCAGTAGAGGTGGTCAGTTTAAAATTAAAATCAGACACCACTCTGAGCAGCAGGACCACGCTTTCCACAGAACAACTGTGTCAACTCTTGAAACTGTGCCTGCAGTCAACCTACTTCACATATGGGGAACAATATTATAGGCAGAAACATGGGTGTGCTATGGGGTCTCCAGTTTCTCCTATTGTTGCCAACCTGTACATGGAGGAGGTAGAAAAGAGAGCCTTGACGTCCTTTTCAGGGACACCACCAAGTCATTGGTTCAGGTATGTTGACGACACCTGGGTTAAAATCAAATCTCAGGAAGTCCAACATTTTACTGACCACATCAACTCTGTGGATAAATACATCAAGTTCACACGAGAAGATGTAAAAAATGGCAGGTTGGCTTTCTTGGACTGTGAGGTCTCAGTCTCTGATAGAGGACATTTGCAAACTGAGGTGTACCGCAAACCCACCCACACAGACCAGTATTTGCAGTTTGACTCCCATCACCCTTTGGAGCACAAGTTAGGAGTCATCAGGACTCTGTATCACAGAGCAGACAGCGTCCCCACTAGCTCAGGAGCCAGGCAGAAGGAGAAATCCCACACAAGACAGGCTCTAGAGCAATGTGGATATCCTAACTGGGCCTTCCTGAAAGCAGAGAAGAAACCCAAACAGGACTCCAGTCAGCCAACAGGTGAAAAGGAGGAACCCAGACCCAGACCAGTGGTCATTCCATATGTTGAGGGAGTATCAGAGAAACTGAGACGTTTATTTTCTAAACATAACGTCCCAGTGGCTTTTAAACCCCAAAATACATTACGGCAAAGACTGGTTCATCCCAAAGATCCAGTCCCCCGGCACAAACAGAGTAATGTTGTGTATGCTGTTCAGTGTCAGGAGGGCTGTGATCAGTCTTACATCGGGGAAACAAAACAGCCACTGGCCAAAAGGATGGCCCAGCACAGAAGATCAACATCATCAGGCCAGGACTCTGTGGTCTACACTCATCTCCAGGTCAGTGGTCACTCTTTCAGGTATGAAGATGTTCACATCCTGGACAGAGAGGAACGATGGTTTGAGAGAGAAGTAAAGGAGGCCATCTTTGTGAAAAGAAATCGTCCATCGTTAAACAGGGGTGGAGGCCTCCGGGTTCAACTGTCCCCCTCTTACAATGCTGTGATTGCTAGTATCACTCAGCCCTCTGTGAACAGTAAACAGCCATCAGTGTGCTAATGATCCATTGTTAGGCTGATGGTCCTTCTTGAGCATGTGATCAGCTGGATTTTGGATGTCAGCAGCAAAACTGGTTGATCCACTCTGAGAAGGTGCTATTTAAGAGACTGAGCTGAATACAGCTCCTCAGACTGAGGAAGTCTCTTGGATGAGAGACGAAACGTTTCTACATTTTTTGTTGATTTGCTCTGTTTAGTTTTTTTGAATGTCCAGAGGACCAGATTTAACTTTTTTAAACCCTACTGTTAAGGTGCTGAAGTGTGAATTGTCAATCTACATATGTATGTGTATCTTATCTCACTCAGCCTTATAACCTGAACCCCTCACTCACTGAGAAAGCTCCTTGGATGAGGAGCGAAAAGTCTTCTGTTACAAATAAAGTCCAGTTGTTTTTGTATTGAACGTTTTGTGAATCTTCCTTACAATGTCCAAAATATCCTGCTGTGAGACAGGAAGGACAGAGCAAAGCAGCTGAGAGAGTTTTCTAGTCGTGTTTCAGTAGCCAGAAAATGTGATTAAAGTTTTTACCTCTGTTGCTGTCAGGTCTCCATCCACAGCTGTATCCGTCAGTTCAGTCTGAAAATACAAAAGAAAAGTTTTTAGTTGCATGTGTCAAAGGGAAGAAAACATTTAAGGTCAACTGATGAGTGTGAGATGTGGACCATAAAACAGATGGGACAGGTGGAGCAGGTGAGACAGGTAAGACGTAGGACAGATTATACAGGCAAGACAGTTACCTTTGTGTCTTGTTTTTGAGGAGTTGGAGGACTCTGCTGAGAAACTTCAGTATCTCTTGTCTCCTTCTTCAACTCATCCAGCTGCTGCTCTTGTTGTACCTCCTCCTCTAATACCACCTGCACCTCCTCTGTTAAACAGGAGAAAAAAGTGGTCAAGAACAAAATTTCCATCCATCGACCAGCTCATTCAAACAATATAATTTCTCTGCTTGACAGCTCCATTGCACAGTTTGATTCCTCGAACCAACCAGCTCCATCAGACGGTTCTTTAGACCGAACAAACTGGTTCAGACGGCTCCACTGGTCCAACAGACAGGCTCCATCAGATGGTTCTTTAGACCAAAGACACCGGTTTAGTTTGACGCTCCATTGGTCCAAAAGACCAGCTCCATCAGACGGTTCTTTAGACCAAACAAACCGGTTCAGACGGCTCCACTGGACTGGCTCCATCAGATGGTTCTTTAGACCAAACAAACCTGTTTAGTTAGATGTTCCATTGGTCCAAAAGACTGGCTCCATCAGATGGTTCTTTAGACCAAACTGGTTCAGTCAAACAGTCCACAGGTCCAACAGACAGGCTCAATCAGATGTTTTTTTTAGACCATTGTCCACTCGTTGGACTTATTGTCCAACGAGTGGACGTTCGACAGAAAGAGAGACGGCATGGGGAGTTTTCCGGATTTAGCGTTAGCTCGTAGCCTCACCATAACCCCCGCCCGGCATCCTCTACTCTTAAGCCGGGAGCAGCGCTTCCTCTTCTGCCCACTGGAATGCCTCTACTGCAGCTTCCAGGTAGATGACTTTAAGATCTGCATTCTGTCGAGCGTAGTTTTGAGTTTGTTGCTGATTTCTACTATATTTCGTGGCAAATCTGCTCCTATTCTCATCAATTTGGTTCGGCTATAGTTCACACGCATAAATCTTGCAGAGTCAGGCACAGAGTCAATATCAAAACTTCTAAAAACTGGGATAGTACCGGGAGCCTGTGAAGCTGCAACTGCTCTGAGCGCGGCCATCTTACCAGATGTTTATTAATCCCAAAGGGAAATTAAATGTTTTCTGTATTCAGTTTTTGTCAATTAAAGTAGCCATCATGCAGCTCAGGTGGGTTTCTTACCTGGCTCCTGCCTCCTCTCATCTGCCCTCTCAGGTGTTCCTTTGATGAGGAGGTCACTGATAGCGATGTCTTTAGATGCTCCATACAGCCCCGAGCCCATATCTGAACATACACACACATGCATGCATGTGCACGCACGCACGCACGCACACACACACACACACACACACACACACACACGCACACACACAGGACTGTGAGGTCAATGACATGCTGTTACCTCATTCAGACAGGAAGCACAGCAGCCAACAAAGTTACCACAGCAACTACTGTGATGCTCATAAGCAGCAAATAATTAGAACAGCTCATTGCTAAGGCAACAGCACATTTAGCCAACCAGAGTTCAGGGCACATGCAGCGCATCCTAGGCTAACCAATCAGCAAAGAGCAGTGTCACCAAGTTCTGCCAAGTTAACATCCTACAGTTTGTTAGCAGTGTTGTGATAAGAATGAGTTGTTCAGGTTTATAATGCAGATTTAGGTGAAAACATGTTTCACAGTAAAAGCTGTTGTTCACATGATGTTTTTAAAAAATAAAATGTGAAACTAAAATCTTTCTGCAGAAATGTTGAAGCTACGGTCTAAAAATGTCAAGCAATGCCCAACAGAAATTTTGAAATTACTGTCGAATGTAAGCTATGACCGAGCCAGATGTTTATTCTGAAGAATATCTATTGTAGAATCTAAGAAACTTAATTAATTTGATCATCTGTTTAATGAGGCCAAAAGCAAATGTCTCAACTTACAACAACTGTGTCCAACAGAACGTACTTTTAACAGATTTTGAGAAGTGCTTGAAGTTGACCTGTACTGACCTGTACTTGTTTAAAAGTACCAGGAATCTCTGGGCGTAAGATCAACTGTTTGTATAAGACCGTTTCCATCAGAGCTGTTTTGATAACTCAGAATTGTTTTAGCAACGAGTGCTGGTTTATGTCAAGCTGACCTAAGAAGAATCTGTTATTCTCAAGTGTTTTTTCTAAAATGGGAAAGGACTGATAAAGTGTTATACAACCTTCTGACTTCTGATGTCAATGAAAGGTATAAAATAAGATACTGTACTGTATTTAGACAGGGGTTCTGCCTTTTGAGGTCCTGAGGTATCCCTGGCTGTTCAGCCTTTTGGGCTAAGCCTCAAAGAAAACCCACATTTGCTGTCAAACAGAACCAAGGTGTCTACTGTTTTATTTAATGAACCCAAAAGTATTAATGTAGATGCCACTAGACTATGAGCTTTATTTTGAAACTGAAGATTTAAACGTCTCGTCTGTTTGTTTATGACTTTAAATCTTGAATTCACCCGACCCTCTTACTTAATTATCCAGAGCATCAGAGTACGGGATTATCTATGAAGAAAATTGAAGAAAAGCATGCTGGGTAATATAGAAGCCAATAAATCTAATGAGTCACTGATTGCCATGAGGATTGTGTGGGTGTGACCCCTGACCTCTGAGAGGACACATCAGTCCTACAGCAGAGAGACACACTGTGTGGAAGGAAGGACAAAAACTGCTGGAGTTAGGAGAGTTTGGAAAGTTAAGAGTCCAAAAGTTTGACATCATTACACGTCCAACAAGTCCAACATTTTGTAAGAACATCTCCAAAACTGATCAAAATTCAGCTGTGGTTCTGATGTCCAACAAGTCCAACATTATGTGGGAATATCTTCAAAACTGATCAAAGTTCAGCTGTGGTTGTGTAAAAAGCATTAAAGATTTGAAAACGGAAGTTAAGTCATGGAAAATCCATTTATCTAATGGTTCTGCTGTGAAGTCTGAGCTGCAAAGTAACTAACATGAATGAATGAATGAATGACAGACAGACAGACAGACAGACAGACAGACAGACAGACAGACAGACAGACAGACAGACAGATTCATTCACTCAGGGGAGTGGTGGCGCAGAGGTTGGAGGTCAACGGTGTGATAATGAAAAAAAATCTTGCACACTAGCACATAATGACGCTGACATTACACTGGGGGAGGGAGGGCACAAGGACTGTGAGCAGTCCACAGACAACACACAGAGGCACTGCAGAGTTCAGATAAAATCACTCAGTTCAAATAGTTCTCTCTGGAGAAATCCGAGGACGGCCAAGGACGAATCCAGAGTCCTGAAATGATGACAGAATGTTTATTCAGCTGGGTCCCTCTGAAAAGTTCATGGAATTCCTCGGTAGGAGGGGAGGAAGGGGCAGAGCATCAAGGTTTACAAAACTTCCAGGAGAATTAAGATAAGATAAAGGCCAGTCAGGGAGTCAAATTCAGATAAACACAATTGTTTTGGGGACAGGCAGAACTTTAATGACATCTACCTCGAGTCTGTGTCGGTCCGCTCGGTTCCAAAACATCCAAATAAAATAGCCACACCAATGGACAGTACATGAGAATAATCCCCAAGATCTGATCCATCCTGCCAAAAGCATTTGAGGCTGGGTGCTCGAGGCATGAACCAAGCCATCATGTAAAGGCAAGCAGCCTGATCGAGTCCAAATTTGCTGCAGATGACTTCCTTGATTGTAGATAAACCAGGAACCAGCCGAATCTAAAAAGCAGGAACCAGTTATCATAAACCCAATTATATATGCATCCTTAAAATCCGCAAATGACAGCAGAGATAGACACATCATTAAGTCTTCCAAGTTGATGAGCTATCCAGCTGCGTGTGTGCCAACAGGGCAAATCGGCTCAGCTAAAGCCTGTCTTCTCTTCAAAGAAATGTTATGAAGTGTGTTGAGGGACCAACTGACCAAATGCAAATCCATAAATTATGATTCGGAAGATTTGTAGAAGAAAGGCTCTAAGCAGTTTCACAGACAGGACAGAGCAAAAGCAAAGCGTAGAGGGAGCGGAGAAGAAGGCATATGCCCTTGACAAGAACAAGTGTTGAAGTGGATACTTTATACTACTTTATACTTTATTGATCCCAAAAGAAATTATATGGTGGTCTGTAGCTCCCATTCATACAAATAACAAGGTAAAAACACACAGATATAAAAAAAGGGGTATTAAAAAAATCAATAAATAATTAAAAACAACACTAACACGGAGATCAAGCAACAACTATGTGGGACATAACCAGCTATCTTCTCAGGTTCCACCCAGGAGTGGCTGAATTACACAGCCTAATGGCACAAGGGACAAACGAGTTCTTTAGTCTCTCAGTAGAGCACCTCATTAAATGGAGTCTGGTGCTCATTGAACTTTGCTGATTAGAGAAGACAGTGTTCAAGGAGATGCCCTGATTGGACATGATAGCCCTGATATTGGAGCGTGTCCTCTGCTCCACCACCTTTTCCACAGAGTCAAGGCCCAGTCCCACCACAGAGCCTGTCTTCTTGATGAGCCAATCCAGCCTTAGATGTCCTTCTTCCTAGTGCTGCCCTCCCCAACACACACACACACACACACACACACACACACACACACACACACACACACACACATACATACAAAAAAAAAAACATACACTGGACACAATGGATTGGTAGAACATATGCAATAACTTCAAGCAGGCCATGAAAGAGGCCAGCCTTCTGAGAAAGTGCATCCTGCTCTGCCCCTTCTTGTACACAGCATCCATATTTGCAGTCCAGTTCAGTTTGTTGTCCAGCTGTAGCCCCAGATACTTAATAGGTTGAGACCACCTCAACCTCCGATCCATCAATAATGATGAGCTGCAGAAAGGGTGACTATATTGCAATGCTAGGATTAAAACCACACCAAAATGCAATAACATGACACTAGGTCAAATGAAAGCAAAACTACTGAGCGCCAATATTAAAGCAGAAAAGTCTAAATGCAACCCAAATGGCAATCTAAAAAAACTTCTTCAGATATTTTGAAGGATAGAGTTCAAGACTGGTTCAAAAACTCTGTCCCTTTTAGACTTTAGAGGTCAGGAGTTTGGACAAGCTGTAGAAGATCCAAGGCATCTCCAGTCAATACAGGATGAAATAACGCACAAATTGAGTGCTCCACAGTTGAGGTGACTGTCTAAATTGAAGCCCATATTATCCAAAACTAACCTTGAGACAGTTATAGATGACTTCATGACATCCAGGCTTGATTACTGCAATGTGGTTCTTTTTGGAATCAGTGAGACCTCTACTGCACATTCACAACTGGTTCAAAATGCTGCAGCCTGATTTTTAACTAGTGCAGGCAAAAGAAAGTACATTTCTCCAAATCTGGCTTCATTCTAGTGTTTCCCCTAGATAACTTGCCATGGCTGGGTGCTCATCTCGTCCATGAGTTTTGTCTGGCGGGGGAGGGGGGGACGAAGACACCCCCTGAGCTGTGAAGCGCAGGGTTTATACCGGCAGTCGGGGGGGAGGGGGGGGTGGCAGAGGCAAAGCTGCGCACTGTTTGTTGCACCAACAGTTTTACAGCTTTAGAGCAGGGGTGGGGGAGAGGAGAGAGACAGACACGTCTTAGCCGTGCGAGAGAGGTCTGTACCGACAGATTCTTTTTATG